TCATGTGCAACTTGGATGGCTTGAGTGTGGAATTCTCTCACCCAATCCGAGGTATCGGTCGGGTGGTAGATGGTCTCTCTGTAGACGGGGGCCCCTGTTTCCTCATGGTTCCTTCTTCAGAGATCACTCTGGACAGCAGCACTCCGGCCCACCTGCTCGCAGGGCTGTCCGTCAGACTTGTCAGAGGTGTCAGCAGTCAACAATTCCTCCTCTCTCCTCTCCTCTCTGCTGTCTGGCCCAACTTGGAACTCCGGCGTACTGCATGGTATTCTCCTTACACCTGCTCTCCAGTTCTCTCTGTTCACTTCCTGTCCTTGAGTTCCCCAGCCTCTGTATTTATTTGCCTCCGCCCATCCTCCAGCTCCTCTGGAAATGTAGTTTATGAACTCCCTGTCAGACAGTGAAGTCCTGCAATCAGCCTACGAATCCTATGAAGCTTTTCAATAGCCTGTATAACTGGGCTGCAGGACACTGCCATCTTGTGTCCATTTAACATCATGAAAACAGTATTACGGCAGTGTTACAACTGCACATTTTTTTCTGAAAAATATGTGAATTTATTATTTTTTCTGTAAAGGTGAACTTAGCCTTTAGGTAAAACAGCAGTTCTGGGCACTTTAGGTGACCCACACAGGACAGAGGGAGGTACCTGGGGAAGTTGGGCAACTGGAAGGGGGCCAGATGACCCAATTAATTTTTTTACTTTAGGTCAAGCAGGCATTTTACAGAGCCTATCACTGCCTATGTAGTCTGTGATCTGTCTGTGTATTGCTAACGCTTACTATGGTTAAGTACTGGTAATGATGCTTGTACAATAACATGATACACTATATTCCTTTAATTTGCCAATATGGTGCTAATATGTGGGATATCTTTCTTTCAGAATATATAACAGTCTGGATTATGTTGAAAACAAGGCTACTGTCTTTCATGCCAGCTTCCTAAAAGCAAGTGCCAGATCTAAAGCTAATAATCTAATGGCCCTTGGATGTTTTATTCTTCCCCCAGCTTCTCTTCATGAAGGTTGGTATACATGTGTGTAAATCATAAACCTGTCTGGAAATATTATTCACATTATCCTAATTTGTATGTAACAGAAATCAGAAGAAAAATTGGCAGCTTTATCTGGGAGCAGGATGACACGCTACAGGAGAAGCAGGTCAGTACAGAATAAGAGTCATATCATCTGGCCATACACTGATTGAATTTTGGCTTGTTTCTGATGGACCGGCTGAAATTTGAGCAATGAGTGGTCCTTTTGGCACACTGCAGCCCAACACCCTTTGGTCCAAATACTGAAGAAGCTGGGCCGATAATTCTTGGCTGAATCAGCTGCAGTCACTGCTTTGCAGCGCCAACTGTACTCTGATAGCTGATGGTCATGATTGTCAGCATGCAAAACCTCAGCAGTAGTTGCCTCCATCTGCGCTGTTACAGTGGATGGAGAAATCTGTTAGTACATGACCAGCTTTATACCAGGAGGTATTTCAGTGATTCCCGACCAGCACTCAGCGATCGTCGGGTAAAGATGACATGGGAGAGACTTATGTGTAAACAACACAGGTCTCTTTCCTGTCAGCATGGACATGCTGTTTGTATCTCTCTGCACACAGCAAAGAGATACAAAACAGCATGTCTCCCTAGTAAAACACAGCACACAGTAAAACACATGCAACACACAGTTAACCCTTTGATTGCCTCAGATGTTAACCCCTTCCTGCCCAGTGTCATTGCTTTTCATTAGCACTGATCACTGTACTACTGTCATTGGGATGTCAGTGACAGTTAGTCAGTTCCCATCCAGTGTCAGAATGCCTGCTGCAGTCCTGCAGTCCCGCTATAAGTCGCTGATCGCCGCAATTACCAGTATAAAAAAATATTAAAAAATTCCAGTATATATACCACCATTTGTAGACGCTATAAACTTTCATGTAAACCAATTAATTTACACATATTGAGATTTTTTTTTAGCAAAAATATGTAGCAGAATATATTTTGGTCTAAATTTATGAAGAACGTAGATTTTTAAAATTTTTTATACTGTATATATTTTATAGCAGAAAGTAAAAAATATAGTTTTTTTTTCAAAATTGTTGGTTTTATTTTGTTTATAACGCACAAAATAAAAAAACACAGAGGTGATCAAATGCCACCAAAAGAAAGCTCTATTTGTGGGAAAAAATGACATCAATTTCATTTATAAACAATGTTGCATGACTGCACAATTGTCAGTAATGTAGCGCCGTATTGCAAAAAAAATGGCCTGGTCAGGAAGGGGGGTAAATTCTCTGGAGGGCAAGTGGTTAATGTGTCCCTTTAATAAAAACCCTGCCTTCTGCAAAATATTTTTTAGGGACCCATCTAAAATTAAATAATGTGATTTACTACTTCTTTTACTATTAGAAGCTACCCCTGCGCATTTATCAAGCTTGGCTGTGTGCTTTATATATGTGCTTTGCAATTTGCCTGTCTAGTTCCATTGAACCATAACAAGATCTATTCACTACATTGAATTAGGAAGAAAAAACTGTCATATGATATAAAGTAGATCACATGACAGCACTCTCCTATTTTCTGCAAGAGTTCTGTACAGCATTATGCAGAGAACACACCACAGGACACCTCTGGCTCCACACTGTACTCTGTATTTTACAAGTAAAGCATAAATGCCAATTAAGTGTGGAGTATTTCCAGCACTGTTCTATGGTGTGTGTAGAGTAAAAACGGTGGGGCCAGATACATAGGCCTCTAATTCACTTTATAGGTCAGTTATGGTAGAAAAAAGAGAAATACTAAAATAAATTAGAATGGAGGAGCTGCACTTATTTGGTTGCTGTGGGTTTCTACAGTTTCCCCTTTTATAATACACAAAATGCTTACCATAACCAGCCTCCCCTGTTGTCTGCAGCCTGTCTGGTAAAATCTAATCTGCATGCAGAGCTGCCTGCTTCTGTGCACTAACATCCCAAAAAAGTGTATTTCCACCTTTGCAGTCAAATTGGGATAACATCTTCTTTATATTGTTACATGTTCTCATTCAGATATCATCATTTTACAAAAAATAGTTATGCTGCTTACCATTTTTGATATATTATTCTAATAAAACCATCATTGAAAAATCTTACTTAGTTCTCTTTGTAAGGGAGCTGGGTTTGCCATATAAATTAACCTGTCTGTACTGTGCTGGCAGATCTCATATCACTTTAAAAACTAGATTTAAAACACTGCTGGTCCTAAAACAAAGGGTCTAAGATTTAGGAGCTGGCCCTCTGTAATTGTATGTTAATGAGCAGGAGAATCAGCTGCCTTAAACCTTCCTATTGGGAAAGACTGGCTTTGATAAAATTTAGGAATGCTTGCATTCAGCCATGGGGCCTTCACCCCGAGAAACATCTAAGGTAAGAAATATTTTTAAAAATTAGATATGCTGAGGGAACTTCACTGTTAGTAGCACCCTTTAGTTTGCTATACTAGAGTAGCATAGAGAATTATAGGCAAAATCATTGTGTGTGACTCATGGTAGTTAATGTGAGTCATGTGACTGAGGCTGGGTTTTTTGCAGGTCAGCTGGATGAATCAATAGAATGTGGCTCTATTGTCTCCTCCTGACTCTGGAAGACCATAGAAACAGCGGTTCTCAACCTGGGGTCGCGACCCCTTTGGGGGTCGAACGAAGTCACTTTCCCAGGGGTCGCCTAAATGACCATCGGAAAACACATATTTCCGATGGCCTTAGGAACCGAGACACCGCTCCTTGATCCGTCTCCAGGTTCGTGGGCGGGATGACATGCGTCCCTGTCCATCTGGACACACCCCGGGATCAATCCTTCCTCGTCGGGTGATTGGCCGCCGGAACTGTAGCTCAGGAGAGGCACACAGGCGGCCAATCACCGGCGCGAGGAGGTGGAGCTTGGAAAGGAGGAGCCCGAGCGGCACCGCGAAGATCGAGGAGCGAGTGAAGAGGGGAGAGCGGCCGGAGAAGGGAAGACATCTGACCGGGTTAAGTGTCTGTAACCATGGGAGAGGGAGGGAGGAGCGATGCGAGCCCAGGCAGGAGCAGGGGGGGTCAGCAAGGTAAGTATCATTGGTGTATGTGGGGGAATAGTGCCCCAATCATTGGTGTCACTAATACCAATGATGGGGCACTATTCCTCCCCCCACTGACACCACAACGATGGGACACTATTCCTCCCCCCAACTGACACCAACGATGGGGCACTATTCCTCCACTGACACCAACGATGGGGCACTATTCCTCCCACTGATACCAATGATGGGGCACTATTCTTCCACTGACACCAATGTTGGGGCACTATTGCTCCCCCTGAACCAACGATGGGGCACTATTCCTCCCACTGACACCAACGATGGGGCACTATTCCTCCCCACTGACACAATGATGGGGCACTATTCCTCCCACTGACACCAACGATGGGGCACTATTCCTCCACTGACACCAACGATGGGGCACTATACTTCCCACTGATACCAACGGATGGGGCACTATTCCTCCACTGACACCAATGTTGGGGCACTATTGCTCCCCCTGATACCAATGATGGGGGCACTGTTCTCCCACTGACACCAATGATGGGGCACTATTCCTCCACTGGATACCAATGATGGGGCACTATTCCTCCCACTGACACCAATGATGGGGCACTATTCCTCCCACTGATACCAATGATGGGGCACTATTCCTCCCACTGACACCAGTGTTGGGGCACTATTCCCTCCCACTGATACCAGTGATGGGACACTTTTCTCCCACTGACATCAGTGATGGGACACTATTCCTCCCACTGACACCAATGATTGGGGCACTATTCCTCCCACATGACACCAATGATGGGGCACTATTCCCCCCCACTGACACCAATGATGGGGCACTATTCCCCCCACTGACACCAACGATGGGGCACTATTCCTCCCACTGACACCAACGATGGGGCACTATTCCTCCCCCCACTGACACCAGACGATGGGGGCACTCTATTCCTCCACTGACACCAACGATGGGGCACTATTCCTCCCACTGACACCAACGATGGGGCACTATTCCTCCCACTGACACACCAACGATGGGGCACTCTTCCTCCCACTGACACCAACGATGGGGCACTATTCCTCCCTCACTGACACCAACGATGGGGCACTATACTTCCCACGACACCAACGTGGGGCACTATTCCTCCCGCTACTGACACCAATGTTGGGGCACTATATTGCTCCCCCTGATACCAATGATGGGGCACTATTCCTCCCACTGACACCCATGATGGGGGCACTATTCCTCCACTGATACCAATGATGGGGCGCTATTCCTCCCACTGACACCAATGATGGGCACTATTCCTCCCATATTCTGACACCAATGATGGGGCACTATTCCTCCCACTGATACCAATGATGGGGCACTATTCCTCCCACTGACACCATGGTTGTTGGGGCACTATTCCTTCCACTGATACCAGTGATGGGACACTTTTTCCTCCCAATGACACCAGTGATGGGGCACTATTCCTGACACCAATGATTAGCACTATTCCCCCCACTGACACCAATGGGCACTATTCCCCCACTGACACCAAAGGCACTATTTTCCCCACACTGACACCAATGATGGGGGGCACTATTCCCCCCCACAGACACCAATGATGGGGGGCACTATTCCTCCTACGACACCAATGATGGTGCACTATTCCCTCCCACTGACAAACCTATGATGGGCACTATTTCCTTCCCACTGACACCAATGATGGGGCACTATTCCTCCCACTGACACCCAATGATGGGGCACAAATCCTCCTACTGTCACCATATGATGGGGCACTATTCTTTCCCACCTGACACCAATGGATGGGGGCACTATTCCATCTGCCCACAGACACCAATGAAGGAATCACTATATTCCCCCCACTAGACACCTATGATGTGGGCACTATTCCTCTCCACTGAACACCCAATGATTGGGGCACTATACCTACCACAGACAACCAATGATGGGGCACCTATTCACTACAATCTGATAACAATGATGGAGCAACTATTTTCCTGCCAATTGACTTCTGTGATGGGACACTATTCCTCCCCACAGGAACACCAATGACCGTGGTCACTACTCCTCCCACAGCAAAATTTACAGTTATGAAGTATGCAACGAAAATAATTTTATATGATGGTTTGGGGGTCACCACACAACAAGAGGTGAACTGTATTAAGGGTTCGCGCGGGCTATTAGTAAAGGTTGTAGAACCACTGCCATAGAACTTCCAGAAGTCAGGAAAGAAGGAAAGGGATGGAGGACCTTAATTCTGTATAAACATGGGGGATACACCAATCGCCAGGTTTGGAGGGCGAGGCCAGTTAGAGTGGTGGTCTAGACCTATAAATATGTGGATAATAAGGCTGACAGGAGGAGTTGGGTAAAGGTGCAGAGGAGACTGTTGGTCTCTAGAAGATGGTCCAATTAGGTTCTGGTGGGTCGGCCTTACTAGGCTGGGTTTGGTGCTGGCGCAAGTAGGATACAATCTGCAGCAGAGAGAATGTGGATAGCGTATGCAAGGCAATATAGTGCAGTAGGGAGTGCAAATAGGACAATTTGAGTACAGCAGCACATGTTTGGGAATCTACAAGGGGAAATGGACTGCCAAATTTAAGCAAACTTTCTAAGGACTGCATTGAGCTACAATTGCTTTTAAAATCCTTGAACCCAGGGGAGAACTTCCAAGAAGCCCAGCGTATGGCAGGTAATGCTTGCATGATGAGTAGATGGAGCAGGCTCTGAAAGGTGGAAGAGAAGAAGCTCTGCATGTAGCTTCAAGACGGAAAATGATTTTTTAAAGGGCTGCTAGTTCCTCTATCGGTAATGGTGCAGATGCTGATGATCTGACCTTTTGACTGACGGCTTTCAGGAAAGGACAGTCCAGGATCTGCTTTGTGTAGGAGAGAAGTGTCCCCCTTCCATTGTTTCAAGTCAAATTGGGCATCTCATAATCCCTGTTTCCCTATCCAAGTTGAATACCCTAAATAAAACAACAAAACAAAGCTTATGAATAGATCACTGTTTTTGGGTGCAGTTTGTGTGAAAATTACCCTGTTACCGGCTATGCGGAGGGAAGTTTTTTAGGGATACCCACAAGAAAGTGGCCCCCTACAAGGGTAGCACTACAACTGCAAGGTAGAAATTCACTTCTGCTAACCATGTGTACATTACTTTTTAAGTCAAACACTACTAGAAGGGGCTGGGTGAAAACAGTGATAGTGGGCTGTTGCAGCAGTTGGAGAAGGTAAGAACTGATTGTGCAGAGGGGGAGGAGGGGCGCTCAAATTTTGTTGCAGCCTGATTTTTGGGGGGTTTTGAGAAATGTATCCCCCCAAAACAGGATTGTGCACTAAAACCTGTAGCTAAATAAGCAAATCAGAATTTTCTCCCTAAGGTGGAAGATTGGAATTTTGACTAATAAAGGTTGGTCAGTGCTTCTACCCAGGGACAGGGCCTTTTTGTAACAGAGGGGTATTCCCTTCCTGGGAGATTTACCAGTTAATCTAATCCAAAGTAATAGGAAGGAGAACAACTTACACAACCAGAAAGTTATTAGCATTATAGATGCATACCATTATATTAAATAATAAATAGCTTTGTATAAGTAAGAGATCAATAATAGTATATACATCCAATGTTAAAAAATAGATATATTTATTGGCCTACGGGGCCCATGCAATTGTGCAATTACAGTTGTGACCACAAAATTATTCAAACCCCCACTTGGAAATTGAGTGTTTTTGGCCAAGTTTGACATTGCTTTTGATCATTCAGTTCGATCTTGCTTACTTTTACATTTAAAGAGGCACATGTATGGTTCAGACACATAATATAACATAACCAGTTATAATGAAAGAAACCACAACATGTCGCTTTTCTTGTGTCAACTGCTTTATCAGTTTTAATTCAGACCCCCAAGTGACATTCAATCTTAGTACGTTAGTACAGCCATCCTTTTACAGTTATAACTGCTTTTTAATCGTTGAAGTCATATGCTTGTCCCACAAGTGTATGAGCAGCGATGTCTACGGGTATCTTCGCCCATTTCTTCATCTGGGCAAAGGCCACCAGTTCAGTCACATTCTTAGGGCTTGCGCACCTGCAACTGCTTTCTTTAAGTCCCACCAGAGGTTTCTCAATCGGATTTATGTCTGGTGACTGCGATGGCCACTCCAAAATGTTCCAGCCTTTCCTCTGAACCATGCTCTAGTGGACTTGGAGGTAATGCTTGGGGATCATTGTCCTGTTGAAAGGTCCAACGTATCCCAAGCCTCAGGTGTGTGAACGGACTGCATCACGTTTCCATCCAACTGTATCTCCTGGTACTGAAGAGAATTCATGGTACCTTGCACACGCTGAAGCTTCCCTGTACCGCTGCAGGAAGCAAAACAGCCCCAAAGCATGATTGACCCTAACACCATGCTTCTCCAGTAGGCAGGTGTTCTCTTTCATCATAGGCTCTTGTTCTTCCTCCTCCACAACATAGCGTTGATCCATGGGCCCAAAAACAGGTTCTAATTTTGTTTTCATCATGTCCACAGAACATATCCACAACTTTTGTGGTTTGTTCCACATGGCTTTTGGGCATACTGCAGTCGACATCTTTCTTATTCTTTGGAGACAGCATAGGGGTGTACGCACTGGGAGTTTTGGCACGGTAGGCCTTCGCATTACGCAGTAGTGCGGTCTTATTGTCTGGCTGAAACTTCTGTACCCTCACATATGACAAAGTCTTTTCTCAGTTCTCAGCAGTCACACGGGGACTTCTCTCTCCACTCTACGCTTCAGGTAGCGCACAGCTAGTCGAATGTCAGCATCTTCTTTTGCCACGACCATAGGTAGCGTTTCAACAGTGCCCTTTTTGCCTTGAATTTGCGAATGATGACTTCTAAGGAGTGTTTTTTTTTTCCCTCTGGTATGTTTAACATCTTTGCAATCTTCTTATAGCCATTGCCCTTCCCTGTGATGAGAAATCACCTCTTCTCTTGTCTTTTTTTTTTTTTCTTTCCTGGGACCATTCTTTGCCTTCACCATGTTTGTAAACTCCACACCAGTAAATGTACTAGAAGGATCCTGAGTATCACAGTCATTTTAAAAAGCTTGCCTAATTGGTGATTTATATGCTTGATTGCTGCTCGGTGACTTCCACAGGTGTTTTCAATACCTGATGTGAAAGCACCTGTATGAACCTCTGTTCTTTCAGACGTGGTAGTCTCTAAGGGGTTGAATAATTGTTGGCAATGAAGAAACCACTATAAGAACAATTTATACTGTATTTCATAAATACAATTGATGTCAATTTTAGTTGCATTTGGGTAGTTACAACCGTCCTTGTAGGTTTTGATTTCTGAACTACAATTCCTCAAATGTACACTTATAGTCCATTAAACCCCTTTTACAGCATTGGGGGTTGAATCATTTTGGTCACAACTGTACGTTACTTGGGTAATATTAAAGTGGGGGAAAATAATTATTTGATCCCCTGCAGATTTTGTAAGTTTTTGCCCACTTACAAAGAAATGAAGGGTCTCTAATTTTATCATAGGTCGTGTTGCAGGAGATATTATATCCTGTCTCATGGCTTGTGATCTGCTGACTTGGCCTTCTCCTGGTGTAACCTGACACATTGACCTGACACAAGGATCTAAGCACGTGAGGGATTTCAGCCCTCCCTTACTCCTTCTCAGACTTGGAAGAGGGAGAGAGCCAATTATTAGAGATCCATTAAAGAAAGCCAATGACAAGGACTCTTTCAGCAGGAAGTGCAGCTGCAAAGCATTGTGACGATGGAGTTTTTGAACAGAGAAACAGCCTTATAGGCTGATATGGAAGATAGAATAAAACTAAAGGACTACGAGAAAGCCATCATGCTTTAGGGGAGAGGAGAATTGAGGGATTCCATCTTAGGTTTCTTCTGAAGGAGAGAGGAAGATTGCATGTTGGCAGGAGAGAGATTTGGGGACCTGGAAAAGAAGTGCTTTTTGGGCAGTGCATCTGGATGCTTGGTGATCTGGATCAGGACAATAGGGAAACATCCAAAAACTGGAAAAGATAGTGCGTTCTACCAGTACAGTGCCTACACTGACAGTGTGAAGTGCTCATCGTGAGGTGACCAGAGGAACCTGTCATTTCCAGGACGATCGTTTTGGGCCTTTGTCACAGGATCTGGTGAGAGGGATTTCTTCATCCTGTTACAAAGAGACTAAAGTTACTGGTGCCATACGAGCACGCGCATGCGTAGTCAGGCCTCTATATTGCATGGTGTGTGAGGGAATAGCTTTACCTTGAAAGTAGCTATTAAACATCAGTTGGGTACAGTGTTTTCCTATTGGGGCATGGTGTCGGGGGGGGGGGTTAGAAGGGAGAAGTCTGACACAACAGAGAGTCATTCTT